AGAGAGAGAGACTGGCCTACAGCTGTCATTTGAGATGTGCGTGGTGTATTCAAGTTATATGTCTGTATGAAACTTTTAATCTGTTTTCTGCTTTTTTCTTTTTTTACTAAGTATATCAATTTTCATGCATGCTAATGTGAAATATAAGTGCATCAATTACATACCTTAAAACCTACTTTTTTAATAATCTTTCCAATTTGAAACAAATCAAAGATAAATCTGGAAAGGAAATGTATATCATAGGTTTTAATTTCTTTGTTTGTTTTTTTACTTATAATATTGCTTGGTTAAGTTTGAACAGTGGTACATGTATGAAAATATACATTATATATTTTGAATAAACAGATTAACCAATCAACTGCTGCAGGAGCAGCTCAGTTGCCGTATTCTGACTCACAGATAAAACTGAGTTTCCATCAATCACAATAAAATGGTAATTATCGTCATTTGCATAGAGTTATAGTTATATATGTGTGACTGACGGATATTTCCATCATATGCAGCTGAGCCGTAGAACTTCAATGATGGAAATATCTGTCATCCGCAGTTAATGGGTTAAATAGGAAAATATTAACACAGAAGAAAAACAACAGAAAAGATAGCAGAATCCACTCAACAATTCAGAGAAAGTGGCTCATCAAGAGTAGCCTTTCCTATATATATCTGTTAAAAGTTACAATTAAGTGTGGAAAACTTTTAACATTTTAAAAGTTTAAAAAGTTATACTTATACAAAGCTTCTCAGGAATCAAGTTCTTAAGCTTCTACATTAAAACATTAAATATTTAAAAAAAAACAGAAAAAAAATTATTATATCTTAAGCAAATTCCATAGGGCTTATTTCACTTGATACAATCTGTTCAAAATGTTTTGTATTTCAAAGCTAGTGTACATAAATCAAACATTCTTTAGTCATTATACAATACTATTTTTCAAAGTCTTTGACTAACCATAAAATGTATTCAACACTAGCTTTCCCATGTACCTGATTTTTTTTTCTTTACATTTATCTCAACATACCCTATACGTTATGCAGAAGCCAGGAGTTTTGGAGTTATGATCTGTACATCCACAAACAATTTTCTCCCAAGTAACAACAATAATTTGATGTCTAATGTTAACTTCTTAATTTATGCTTCTACAGATTGTGCAGTGGATTAGTTATTAGATCAAGGGCAGAAGATGTATAAATTGACAGAAAAGTCTAGATTAAAAAAAAGTATAATGATGTTATAACTGCATTATTTTATTGGGTGGGTTTTTTAAATTTTTTTTAGTGAAAATAATTCAAAGTCCAGTCCACTTAATGATAACTAATTAATCAATTTTTTCCTTAACATTTGTTGGCTTGTTGTGACTTGTAAGCCGAAATTTACAAGTGACATTCAAATAGAAATACCTCACTAACAGAACTGAGACTCACATAAAAATAAACTTACTTGTAGAATTTCATGGCTAATCAATCCAATAATTGTGTACATATATGTGTGATCATAAGCAATGATCCAAATACTTCATTAAACTAAACCGACTCACTCAATACTCATTTATATCTGATGTCTCTCATTTAGATTTGTATTGAAGTTGCTATCCATGACCTTGTCTAGAATATTCTAAATGTTCTAGGACATACTTGGCTTTAATGTGATTCACATCTAACATCCAAATTGCAACAATAAAAATATAACTTATAACAATACTATAATAAGCATAATATTAAACATTAATCCATACAACAAATAAGCAAATGAAACAAATTACATGAACATGCATTGCATGTACTGCACAACACAAAAGACCAAATAATACTTGCACAATATGAAACTTTTTGTATAGAGCATCACAATGTTTTCGTGAATTACACGTGACTAGTTTCAAATTTTACATGCTACCATATAAATTTACATTAAAAATATATTACTTTCTATTTCATTAAAACCAACAAAATTACAGCAGAGAACCCATATCAAGAGATTTATTACACACTTTGTTAGGAGTAAAATTTAATCAGAGCTCAATGTCAAGTGTCTTACGAATGAAAATTCCAAGAGTAACCTGTAAAGTACAGGCTTTACAATAACAACCAATACTGATAATCAAGATGTTTGCTTGTATAACTTAACATTTAATTATAATCAATATCATGTCTTCATACAATATAAAAATGTTCTATTTAGTTAGAACAGATTTTTTTCTATTTGGCAACTGAGAACTTTGCCATGATGAAAGCATTAATAAAACATGGTTAGGTGTTGTACATGAAAATTATGTCTGTGACAATGAGAGAACTTATTAAAGTTAGCACTGTGCAATAAACTTTGTATATGTTGTTTGCATTTTCCTTTATTCTTATATTTCAGACCTGGAAATGCACTAAAGTTCCATGGATACATATAGTGGGATGTGTGCTTGGGGCATTCAAGTTACAAGATATTACTGTTATACTATTTGTCTACTTTAAATAGTGATGTCTCCATAGGAAACAAAATTATATCATTATGTCCATTGTCCAATGGTGTTTTTGTGTGGTAACACCAACTGTAAGTTGTGAATGCAAGCAAAAACAATCAACATTGACTTTAAATTGTTAACATTTTGTGTTTTTCATCTTTTCCATTCTAGCGAATAAATCAAACCTTTTCCTTTTTTTTTTTTTACAATTAATATGAATTAATTAATGAATATGCATTATTACATGTCACCATACATAACACCTCCAACATCAAGTGATTATAGTGTCAGATTATTGTTAATGTAACCAATTTATTATCCATTGTTGTGGTTATTTACAATAAAACCATGACATAAATGAAATATAAACTTTTAAATGCACTAAACTCTTAAGATTTTTAAATAAAAAAGCTTAGAATTGTCAACTGTAAATATGGAAACCTTTCTTCCAAGAACAATTGTTATTATAGCCCACCACTGTTCCCAACCATTATAAAAATCTAATTTGTTAATTTCCCTATGTAAGAAACAGTAAATTACACAACATCCTGTGTTCAACTTTTGTTTTTCATTCCACTGTAGCATTAAACAAATCACAACATTTTACTTACCATACTTATCATAAAGCTACAATTAGAAATAACTATCATAAAAACAAAACAAAAATAATTATTCATTTTTTCTTTATTTACTGTAAATTACATTAGAAAATAAACAAAAAATAAATCACAGTTGGAATAACAAAGGAAGGTTACAGAAAAATTTTATGTTAAAGTTAGAATTTAATTTTGTTGTAGTCAAAAGTTAAATTACAGTTTTTAGATTTTTTTACATTATAACCTGACATATTTTGGTGTGGTGATGTCTTTATCAAGAATTTTTTTTAAATAATCTAATGCAAAAAATAAAATTTAATAACCAAATGCATATATTTACACTGGACTTGTATAAAAAAAAAGTTAAGTGCATTAGAAATTTTGAGGCAAAATTCATACCAGCAGTAGGATTAAGTAGCTTTCTGATTTTCAAGTAGCTGATACTTAAACGCATGAGAGAAGCTTTATCCAGTTGTGTGTAAGTAAGTGGTAACTGATTTGCAAGTTGACAGTAAATTTCAGTTTCTTTACTTCGGCGAGAACGAGCAGCATCTCGGGACTTTTCCTTTCGTTTTTCAGAGTTTCTGAATGAAGAAATAAAAAAGTTGTTGAAAGTTATATAAAACAACGTAAATACTTTATATGTTATTTTGAATATAAAATTCTTTAAAACAATCAACTTACCATATCTATTATAATAAATGTAAAACTTCAGAGCTTTTAATGACCTAGAATATTAAATTTTGACCTTATACTAATATTTTAATCAAAAATGGTTCTAGAACTTTTATAACTTGACCAAACAAAAATTGTATTTTTGGTCAAAAACCATGGATTTATCTTCTCCTAGTTTTACAGCTATTCCAAAACACATCAAGAAATTCCATTGCATCTTGAATTATAGTAAAACTTCATATCAATCAATCAATATATGCTGAAGATATATTTTAATTAGTGCAGTTGTAAGCATATGTACATAATGCCATCAAAAATAAATACATCCTTCACTCCAAACTCTATTACTAATGTAACAACATAGTATTACACATTTTGAGGGTAATTTCTTGAAAAATGATAGGACATCTAATTATGTTTATGCCTACATTTACTACCTAATTATCATTCTATAAAAACATTCAAGTTCACAGAAGGATGGATGATGCAGAAAAAAAAAATCCTCAGTATCTCGTTAAAGAATTGATTGTAGAAATATAAACCATATACGTATTTGTAAGAAACAAAAGGAAAATATTGCACATTTAGAAAGTCTAGCTAAACATGTCTGGCATTTTGTGCATTGCACAAACATGATCTCATGAGAAGTTGGCAGCATACAATCCACATGTTTGTATGCCTAAATAATTATATTAACTAAATAGATGAACCACTGAACAATGTTTTGGGACAACATGGGAACTATTGGTCAATCTTGGTTGTTTCATCCTCTAAACTAAATTAAAATAATTAGAAAAATAAAAAATATTAAAGCCAGCCCTTATCGTTGATATACTTATCAAACTTTTTCTTAAACTCACTTAGATTTACTGTCTCTACAACATGTGTAAGCAACTCATTCCAAAAGCCAATCACCCTGTTACAAAAATGAAACTGTCTTAACTGAAGATGACTCCTAACCTGTCCCCTAGTCCTACTATTTTAACTCTTAAATATGAAAAAAGATGATGCATCAACCTTTACAATCTTAAACACCTCAATCAGATAACCCTAACTCTTCTTTTTTCAAGAG